TCAGCAAATGTAAGAGAGTTGAATCTGAACAACAGCGTGCCAGCATTCCGGGTGTACTGCTACTGGCATGCCACCTAGTATTGACAAGTATATCAACATCAACATATCGGAGCTGACGCATCTCTCGGTACGATGTACATATTGGTGCTCTCTCTCGGAAAAAAGGCACCTGTCACATCCTGGCGCATCCTGTCTCGTCCTCCGTTTCAGAACCGTTCAACCTCAGATGGACTTGTTGAAAGATGGACCGTTTTCAACCGCAGTCCGTGTCCCCCTAATGAGTGAAATAATGTCCACCTCCTAATAATCAACCCCCCCCTCCCCCCTTGATCAAGTGTGGGCACCAAATAATGTGAAATCCAGAAAAATCCTAGACAATCTTGATTTGAATTGGACATGAAAGGAAAGGAACGGAGATTGAAGGAAAGGAAACGAAATGAAAGGAAAATGAAAGGAAAGGAAAGGAAATTGAAAGGACAATGAAAGGAGAGGGAAAGACATGAAAGGAACATGAAAGGAAAGGAAAGGAAATTGAAAGGACAATGAAAGGAAAGGAAATCACGAAAAGAACCAGCCAGGGATTGTTTAGTATTTGAGGCCTGGAGTAATTGAAGGTTTGGGCTGCTCGTGGGGGGTGGTCTTTGTGGGTTGATTTCAGGTTGCAAATTGCAATGCCCAAATAAGCAATGTCAAAAGGAAAATGCAGCAGCCAAATCAAAATTCCAGAGTAAAGGAAACCACAAAATAATCAGATTTTGGAATCAGCTGAAAGCTCAGAATCAGCTTGGATTAATCAAGGTCTGGAAGCAGCTGAAAATCAAGGTCCAGAAAACATTTAGTATTTTTATTCACGGGCCATTTACTATTAGGAAGTCAACATTACTCATGAGCCGGTTCGTCTTAAGTGTTGAACAAAGACCTTTGCAGGCCCAAGAATGCTGGGCTTGTGATGGTAACTTGGCGTGATTTTAAAGAATTTTGTCTTCAGCAGGTGGTTCAACATCTGATCACCTTGACAATTTCATCATTGATTCTGCCCTACAATTACAAAGTAGATTGATTTCAACCTTGTGGCACTTTGACAATCTTTGACCTTTGTCATCCTTTGTCGCTTGGCTTTGAGATGCTTTCGATGCTTTGACTATCAGGTCTTCAGCTCCGTTTTCCGGGAGAGCGGATCAGTGAGATCTCACATGGTGCCCTGGCGTGTGAGGCGAAGTTCTGCTGTAGCACCGAACCGACATGATGTCGCCAGTGCCGAGGTTTGGATGGTATAAAGGTGATTTCTATCAATGGTTGAATGCATGTTCCCCGATCAGTTTTATTATGATAGGCTCTGGCTCTGAAAGAAAAAGTGAGTCAGGCAATTCATAGCAATTCCCAATACAGCAAGCATATTATATTATACTACTTCTGGGTGAGATTTCCGGGATATTCCGCTCCTGACTGAAGTGATTACTCTTTCGTGGCGTGCCTCCCCCCTTCCCATGTGAGGTGAAGGCGTTGGCGGTGAAAGAGCTGAAACATTGGACCTTGCGGAATGCCAGGAACCTGGAGGCCAGGCATATGGGGATGGGTCAAAACCTGGAGCTCCAAACCCTGGGCCCAGTTGATCTGGCTAGGAGGTCAACCAAGGTGCCCCCAGTTTTGACCCGCAGCCATATACAGAGACGGAGAGGACGGTGAGGGATCAGGTCTTGGCTGGAGTTGCGTGCGAACGTGGCTTCTGTGTCGCTTCAAGTCTTGCGCAACATTCCTTTATAGACGCCACTACAAAGACACAGAAGCCTTCAAGTCTGTGTCTGGGCTTTGAGTTCTCTCGGTTTCTGGCTAAAATCAATCTTTACCACTACAAAGATTTGTCAGAGACCACGCTGCAAGCTGATCCCCTTTGCTCCTAGTAGCTTCTTGCTCCTACCTCCCCGACAGTGGAGCCACCAAGTTATATAAGAGGTTTTGGAGTCGAGGAAACAAAGTTAAAGAAACGCAAAGCGCACTAAACCCTAGGTGTCGAGGAAGAAGAGCAACGAGTTTTGGAGCTCCACCATTCTTTTCAGCTAAAGACATTAAGACAAAACCCCATGAGCCTCCTTCCCAGCCTTTCCCGTTATTTCCCGTTTCAGCCAAAAATGCTTTCAGGGTTGATTGAGTGATCAAGATTGGTCTGGCAGTCTACGCAGCATTAGATCAGTCCAGTTCTGGTGATAGCGGTCAAGGTGATGAGGCACCAGGCTACCCGGCAAGCTTGCAAGCGCATACGATCGCTGCAACACACGGCAGCAAGGGGAGTTCTTTTTTGTTTTCAAAAAGAGAGGTTCTCTCCGATGAGTGACGAAGTTTCACTCAGCTTGGTGAGTTTCAGGGAAACGCCATGGGGCAATGAGGGCACCTATGATAGAAGGTCGTACACCTTTCACCAGGCCCATATAATAGGATCCATAAGAATCTATTTTTAAAACGCGAGGTGCGACTGGACCCTGATCTTTTGGACAGGTCACCTTCCTGTCTAAGCAAGGCATCAACACTGCCACTGGGTCAGCACTTTTTGTATCTTTTTGTATATTTATTATGGTTTCGTACAAGTGCGAGATTCGCATTGGAACTGGTGCTCTTTTGTAGCTTTGCTCATGCCAACTCATGCCCAAGACTGACCACCTATTTATTTTTGAGTTGTCATGTTCTGTTGTTTTCACCCTCACAAGTGATGGGGTTACTTGGCCCAGGCGCCGCAGGAGGTGGTGCTGGGCGGAGTGAAAGAAGCGCTGAAACACTTTGACAAACCTGCGGACGATCGCGGTGACGCAGGTACGATCGGAGGGTCGAATTGGGTCGAAAGTGGAATGTAACACAATATTGAAAAACACATTTAAGTCTAAATGCATAAAATAGTATTTGATATTATTTGATTCTATGTTGCTTGTTGCAGTTCGCAAGACTGTCACAGCCATTTCAATGAATGTCCACCACCCCTTTCATCTCCTCCACGCCCTGCACACGCCTCGCTGGTTGCAGGTGACGCTGTCCGTGCCCAGTTCAGAACCGCACAGCGCTGTGAGAAGGAACTGCTGGAGGCGGAAGCCCGAGCTGCCAAGAAGGTGCGGCTGGAAGTTTGGGAGCACCAGTTCGGTTGCTCCAAATGGGGTTCACCGCCGAAGAACCAGCTGAGCAACCGATGCAGGTTCTATCTAGTGGGATGCTAGACCGCCCATAGATCTCTGAGAGTTGGATCCAAAAAGCGTCAATTGATGGTGGTTTATACACTGATTCATGAATGAGTAACCACATCTTATACGTACCACATCTTATATTATATTATATAAGTATTATACGTACACTTGCCTATTCAATCGTATTAAGAGTATTCACCCCATCTTCCAGAGTTCACTGCACGGATCCTGGATGGGATTCCCCCCCCCAACCGGGATCCGATCAGGAAGCGTCGCGTTCCATGAAGCGATGGTAGGCGATGTTCCATGACTCCACTCGACTGCAAGCGTTGCATGACATTGTTCGGTTTCATTCAACGCCAGTGGCCAGTGGTCATGCATCAACGCCAGTGGTCAGTGGTCAGTGGTCTCATTTGTTGCTGACAATTGGCCTCATTTGTTGTTGTGATCCATGCTGAACGGTGAACGGTCGAGTCGAAAGCAGAAAGCCAAGGAGCAGAAAGCCAAGCAGGCCAAGCACAACCGCAAAGCTTGCCCTGTTTCTTGGCATGGAAAGAAACGCGTTCAGTGAATGCTGGATTCAGATTCGCAAAACAATCCCTCAACCGACACCGCTACCCCCGTATATAAACATAGATGCAACTGAATTGCACTTCAGACATTGTGTGCGACATTGAAGGTGATTCCTGCTACTCAGCCGCTCTCTTGCAATGGAGCTGTGCCCAGCAGAGAACTGGGTGAGTACGAAGAGAGCAAAGGCTCAGATTTGGAGGCTTGCGCTGGTCGTGAGTCGTTTTTATGGTGTGATGATTTGAGCTTGGATCGTTTTGAGGACAGTGAAACAGTGCCTTGCTACTAGGAGCAAGGACGCTTACTAGTAGCTCCTGGCCTTGCTACTAGGAACAAGAAGCTACTAGGGGCTCCTGGCATCGCTACTAGGAGCAAGGACGCTACTGAGGAGTCCCACGGTCCCACCAATTCCAGTTCAGTTGTCTCTGTCGACCACCAGGGCAAAAAAACTAGGCGCAACGACTCAGGCGGTGCCGCACGTGCCCGCTGAATCGGTGTCCGATCTCCAAAATCAATGATGCATTCTTGTGGATTCCATATCTCCGTGCTGCCCCAAGCAATTCCAATTTCTGCATCCATGTGGGTGCAAAAAAGAAGAACACATGCTGAGCTAAGTTGAGCATCCATAGGTCGCATCGGGTCCTCTGGCCGCTTCAGCTTCTTGACCATCGCCCTTCTCAGCCTTCCCAGGCTGACGGGGCCAACAGCCTTCTCGAGGCCTCCCAGCCATCCATTTTCCAGCTCCTCAGCGGCTGGCTGGGCTCGGTCCGGGCGGAGGAATCCTGCCATCGTGTGGCTTGGGCAGGAAGAAGCTGAGTGTCCGAGGAAGGAAGGAAGATGCGAAAACTGGACGGAGGCTTTGGAAGAGGAGGAGGAAAAAATCTCAAGCAAATAGACGATGTGAAAGACAACCATCAAGTGACCGGTCTTGAAAGAGAGATCCAGCTGAGGTGGTAAATGCCAACCTATGGCACTACCGGCGAAACGAGAATGCCTGCTGGCGCTTGAGCCCTGCTTGCATGATCTGAGATGTATTGAGTGGTTGCATCATGTTCTCAACCTGCCCAAACCGGCTTTTTGACGTTGTTGTTCACTTTTTTCTGCTTCCCCTGTGGATCATTGTGGATCCCAGTGGAATGTCATTCATTCCAAAAACGACGCCCATCATCCATCTCACGTTCCGAGTTCTGTTTGGAACAGCTGCACCGAACCCCCAGGAGCTATCTCCACAGGTCTGGTGCGTTCACAGACCGACACAACTCGATGCACATCCACTGCCAGCATTGCGCGGATCGCTGTGGCATTTGCAGCTGTGTACCAAATCCCTGGCGTCCTTTGCCGGACCTGGAGCCCGACACTTGGCGATTTGAAGTGAATAATTGGCTCCCAGTTTCTTGGCACATGATGCTTCAACTATCTTCAACTGGTCTTCAGCCTTTCCAGTGGAGTTTTTCTTATCGTTTTTTTGGTCCTAGAGTTCTACCTTCAGGCGCTTGGAGCTTCAACCTGTTTGGGCTCTTGGGCTTTGGACCGTAGATGAAACTCAGGATGGCAAGGAGCCGCAGCTGCTACTTACAGCTGGGGGTTTGGTCACTTGACTGGCATGTAGCCATGGAGAACAGCGTCATTGACTTGTTTGCTGTACGAGGAGTCGAGGCTGAAGGCCTTCTTCTGGTCAACGAAGGGGGGCTGGCTGGCAGGTGGTTACCTTATACTTGCCTTTCGTTCGTCGAGCATAACTATTTGGTTTGGGAGACAAGCGGGAAAAATGTGACTGGATTCAAGATCATTGAATGTTCCCAAAGGTGTCTACTTAACTCCAGACCAGGACCTCCACGAGCTGTGCGGGGTATATGTGTGGGTAGCAGCACTGAGGTCAGTACTTGAGACTTGATGTTCTCGATATTAGTTCTTGCAAGGACATTACAGTGAGAAACCATGAGAAACCACTACTCACGATTGGCAAATCTGGTCAATGATCCAACGGTCATACGACGACCATACAGTCAGCGCTACGCAGCGAACAAGCGAGGTAGAGCCACCCGGTTTGGAGCCGGAGCTTTCGGACATCTCTTTGTGGCGCCACTTGCTCCGGGGCACCCATGGCTTTTCTTTGCATGGCCCAGAGCCTGTGAGCCTCTTTCCGGAAGCGCCCGAACTGGCCAGGACTCGATCGGGGGGTCTTGAAAGATAGAAGCGAAACTCCGGCTCTGCTGGGTGAGGGTCTCTGGTGGGGGGTGATGCCTTGAGAGGGCCAACTTGAAGGACTGGCCTAGGATGGCCGAGTCAAGAATTCTACAATCAATTATAATCAGGGTAGTGACGCTTGGAGTCTGAGAAGAGGACGCAACGCCGCATGAATTCGCTTACATTGTGCAAATTTGGTTCAGGAGTTCCTGTAAGAAGAATGTCAAAGACCTAACAAGCTTTCGGATCTGGAAGTCTTCTTGGAACACAAAGCAAATTCTTAAGAAAACTCCTCTTGCTGCCCCAGGTCTTCTTGTGGTACTGTAGCAGTTTCTTCCTTGAAGAACCCTCTGGCGATTGCCAGGACGGCTCGCATGCGGCAGCGCAATGCTGGTTGGCGCCGCTGGTGGTTGTCTTGGCGGAAAACTCAAGGCCAAGAGACAGAGATGTCTCTTGGAGAGGAGGTGCAATGGCCAAAATGTTCAGAACATGCAATGAATCGGCATGGATTTGCATGTGTTTGGCAAAAGTAGCACGACAGTTTGGAAAAACATGGAACAACTGCATGTATGAAGACACCTGACGTGTGAACGGAGCTGTTTGATTTGCCGAATGCAAGGCATGTGGCTATTCTTGGGTGGGCTCTCCAGCAGCACCAACCCCCATGGTTTTCATGTCGCTTGGTCGATACAAATACAGCTGCTTGCAATAGGGGGACCCTCCAAAAGAACGGGTAAACAGTCAATCGTTCGTTTTACTAGGTGTTCTTTGGCGGGTCTCCATTCGAGTAAACTCCTGAGCATGCCTTGTGTTTGTTGTTGTTATATAAGTTGCATCAACAAATAATGCTAAATTCCTGTTTGTTAGTATTTCAAGGTTCATGAAACTTCCTGACCCCAGAACGAGGCCAGTGCCTGTGCACCTTTGTTGGAAAGTCCAGCAATACATCGAGCAGCTCCAACACGAGCATGAAGGGCACCATGCACACGGAGACTTGGCTGGATGTCCTGATGTCCTGGTTGGTTTGATAGAGTGCCTATCCCAGAGTTGTTTCCATGTTTGGACAAGTTCTGGACATCATATGACAGCATGTTTTTCCTGACACCGTCACACTATATCACTATAATATATATATATAGAGATAGATAGATAGATATCGCTAGATAAAACCTGACTTTCGTTGTTGACTTAGCATTTCTCCCAAGGTGCACTGCTCTGCGATCGCTTGACTCTTTGATTGCTCATTGCTTTACCTTGACCTGCATGCCGTGCAATGGCTCGGTCAAGGATTGTACATAGAATATAGAAGCATCGCGTCCAATGCGTGCTGAAGTTTGTACATAGATCAAGCCTGATGGAGGTTATCCCGATTGGCAAGGCCCCGGTTGAAAATGACGCCGTCAGCATTGAGCCCCTGTGAAGACAGGAAGAAGATCGAACCATATCAAACCTCATCACCCGAACGTTTGTAGGACTTTGACGTTTGCTGAACATACTGGAAGATATGTACAAATGAACCAAACAAAATCTCCGGAGTTTGCCTCCACAAAAAGAAACATGAGTCATGAGTCATGAGCCATTGGAAAGACCAGAAGTGTGAGTTGAACAAAAAGACATCAGAGTTCAGAGTGGCCGTGATTTCATCTCACTTCTAACCAAAGCAAGACCGTTGCGCCGTTGAGTATTTGTTCTCCTAGACTTGGGTCAGAAATCATGTCCAAACAAAGAGATGAGAGCGTGAGCGAGCGTGTGAGCGCTGTTGGAGGTGAAATTTACAGACAACTTTTTCCTCTTGCGGGGCAATCACGAATGCGTCACTTGGAATGAGGAGCAAGGACGCTACTAGGGGCTCCTTGTCCCGAACTACGTCACCCTTCAGGCCACAATCACACCTGAGACTTCATGTTCTTTCTCACGTTTCGCAGTTCCCCTGTCCACTACCCTTGCTTTTTGTAGCCTTGGCTGAAGCTTTCTTTAATTAATTAACTAATCAATTAAATATAACTATAGTTTGGTTGATTAATGTTTTCTCCAAAAGCAACATTTGTACATAATTGGGAACGTTGAAGTTGTTTAAAGGGGACAGCCAGATGAAGCATGCCAAACAGAGCACATCGAAGGAAGATGTTTGGGCCAAAAGGCACAATTTTACACAGCTAAGTGTATATGTATGTAGATCACAAACGTCACAACTTGTATTTTCTTGGCCTCCCGGAAGCTGAGGCCTCAATCAACCGCATTTATGGTTTTTATGATGAGTGCAAGCGACGGTATAGCATCAGGCGAGATGGTTATGGATGGTCCCTCCCTGAAGTGTGGGCGAGTGTCGGAGTAGCCGCCGAGTTGGAATAGACATGTTGTGGCTGGTTATTTTGGAGATCCATGCCACTGCAACTGGAGAGAACATTGCACCTTTTTTGGTCACTGCAACGGTCACTCCAAGCAAGCTACGACAGATAGGATCCATTTCGGAGTTTGCCGAGGCTTTACATTCGACAACTCTTGGTTGTAGACTTGTTGTTGCGTGCTGATTCCGCAATACAGTGGTGCATGCTCATCACACGCTGGTGCTGAGTCATTCCAAGGCATGCGGCATGTCTAACTTAACTTTATGATACTTTATGGCTCATGTATTTGTATTTGTTTGTGTGGTTTTGATTTGCACCCATGTTTTAGTATGTTTGGCATGTTTGACTTTCCAACTTTTGCATACATGTCAAGCCTCGGACCCTTGTATGACTATAAACACATTGTGTTGGTGTGGCCTTGGCAAGCACCTTTCACTACGCTTGTTGGATTACATATGTATATATAACTATATATATTCAGAATGTACATATATTAATTATATATAATGTAATATAAATAAATAAAATATACGCATGAAGAGCAATAATTATGCACATCATCGATAATAACAGGCATTGATTCCAAGGGTTCATGGCCACAGGCTGTGGAAGACCTTTACCGACTGCTTCAACTGCCTGCCAGTGAGTGCAGCCGCATGCCTAGAATGGACAAACATGGAGGTTGACCACCCACTTTGTTGCAGAACCGCCCTTGTGTGAAACCCACTCGCTGATCCTTGCATTAAGAGATACAGTAGATCAGGAGATCCCCAGCAAACGCTCTGTTTGTTCATATTAAGCAGGCAGAAGTAACAAGCACCAGGTTAATGGACTTGGCTGATTTTGACCTTTGTTCTTCACCTTGCCATAAGAAGCCGGTTTAGAGTCTAGAGTGCAGAGGCTGGCTCCAGCCACGCTTCTGAAACTATGCACGTTCCCGAAACAATGGCCAGTTTCAGACCTATAGTTTGTGAACCGTGGCTTCAGAAACCGTTTTCTACCCCGGGCCACACATCCAAATAACTCCGGAGGTTGCCTCGAAAAGCCGTGAAAAAGAGGACCACTGACTGGACAAGGTTGCTAGTGTGTGTAGGTGCCTAGCACCAGTTTAAATACGCTTCTATTTGGGACCACACATAGAGTGCCAATGTTTTTGGAGCCCATGACGGGGTGCCAACTCAGGTCATTGAAGATAAGATCGTGTGCATGCACGGCGGTCTTTCACCCGAACTTGGCGCACCGGGGCGTGGCTTCCCAGATGTTTGTGACTTACGCAGGGTACGTGCCTTGCGTGCCCCGCTTGTTGAAAATAGATCATGTATATTGATGTGTTCCCAAGGTTTGCCGCTGTGCTTGATATAGTGGCTAGCGGCGATTGTTTAAGTTTAGAGAGACGTGATCGCGCTTTTCTTGTGAAGGTCTGTTGGGGGAGCTTTTTTGGTACTCTTATACTGTCTAAAGCATTTATGTGCCCATGCCGCTTTGCATTGCAAAAGAAATGGGAGCCAGTGGCGGATAACTACTTGATTCATGCTCAAGAGTGCACACTTAAAGCATCAATTAGAAAGCCACATGGATGTTTGGATACTATTGGAGCTGTTGTTGCCGATATTTTTGAGTTTTGCATTTTTTGAGATAATGGTGAAGCACCTCTTCGATCAATCGCGCTATGTCGAGGTTTTATTTGACACCCTGTCATTTGATTGTGGGGCATCGCATGGCATCGCCTTCCAAATCATCCACTGAAAACTGAAAATCTCTTTTGAGTGAGTTCTAATGAAATAGGGACACAGTGACAGTTGGTGGAAAGACTCCCATCATGCTGATCGACTCGCTTTTGTTTGGTGCCGAGGCAGATCAATCGGGTCATCAGGCCGACGGATGTGCCAGACACAGGCCGATCGGATGTGCCAACGGATTGCCAACGGACCATTGACCTGCCCCAAAACACAAAAACGGATGGACAAGCGAAACAAACTAGGGGCTCCTGGCACCGCTACTAGGAGCAAGTACTAGTATGTTACAAAAAACTACTGGTAACAAGGGCAAAGAACTTGCAATGAAACGTACTTGCACCGCTGTATATTCCGAAGAGACCTAATTAGAAAGAATGAGTCAGAACGTCTCATTCTTTCTTGTATCCTCAGGATCTGTGAAAGATGTGTTTGCATGATCTCCGAAGCCCCCAAAACAGCTGTCGTCGATTCGAGCGGCTGCATGCAGGCTTGCTGTGTGACTTGCTCTGGCAGCTTGGAGATTGTTAACTCAAACGAACGTTTTCAGCCAGCCGCCAGCCTGTTGTTGCAAACCTGCAATGGCAATCTGGCTGCGATGGCAGTCGAACTTACCACCTGCCAAACTACTGGCTTGCAAAAGGAAGAACCCTCAAAAGAGTTCAAAAGATGCATATTATGCAGGACTCAGAAGACTAAGACGGCTAAGGGTCAGGACGACACCTGAACTCACACCACGTCTAGACGTGTGATGTGTGTGTGGCCTGACAAATGCGCGTTTCACGAGGTCAGATCCAGAGAAAGAGATCAGCGGCTGGGGTGAGAATGACCGATGATGTCGTGGGCAAGGGTTTTTGTGAGAGTTATGGTGGAGGCCATCGCTACAAGGTCGCAGGGCATCGCTACTAGGTTGGAGGCCATCGCTATTAATTAGATTGGAGACCATTGCTAGTAGGTTGGAGGCCATCGCACGTTAAAGAGTGTTAAACCATGAGTGGCCAGAGCTTTTCTCAGTTTGCCGTTGTCACATGTTTCATTCGAGTCAGACAGGGTCTGCGAAGTATTCATTTGTTTGGCATGGTGTGTAAAGCCATCAGAAAACAAAACACGTAACCTCTCAGCAGACTGCAACTCAGTCAGGTGTCTCCCCAGGGAAGATATTTTCTGTTTCCCAGTTTCCAGACATTCTTCTCAGTCGGTCTTTGACGAGTGCTGTCAGCACCTGGTGTCGCTAGAGAGAGCGCTATACAGCCCAAAGCCCAAAGCACTTGTACAGTACTGGAACAAAGCAGCCTAGTACAGTAAAAGAGAGCAGAGCACCCTTCTTCTGTGCATGCCACATATAAGTTCACAGGAGCCTTTTCTGCAGGTGAAGACTCGATCAGAGTGAGAAAGGTCATTGAAAGGTCCTCCTATGGATTTGGCGCTTGCTGCTTGCTTGTCAAATCAACATACCTCCTGTCCGACAAGTGGTCCCATGTCTTTATATTTTGTTGGGTTCAGCTCAGTCTATCGAAGTTCCCTCGCAACAAGAGCCTGTTGTTTTGTGTGCTCACTCCTTGTTGGTAATTGCCAGGTTGTCAAGAAGACGAGTTGTCAGTCACACTATGATACCTGTATTTCACTGCTAGCCCCTTGCAAAGTACACCGGGTTTTCAAGCTCGTTTTGCTGTGGGAATTCTTGTGACTTTGTAGCCGAATGCTATGCTGCCGCTTTTTGCAGGACCGCGGTGTGTCCTTCACTTTTGGACCTGACGTTGCAGCAGTCCCAGAATTTACTGTTATCTGATCATATCTAATCTAATCTGCATCAACTGGGTTTGCTGGTTTTGCCCAGTTGAACCGGGTTTGCTGAGTTGCCCGACATGTGCAAAGTTCGGCATGGCTGAAAGACCTGAACATCGCTCAGAATGAATTCCACTACATCACTCAGTGTTCTTTATGATCTAGTTTGACTGATTAAACAATCTTGGAGGTTCTTTTCTAATCTGACCTATTTGATCCAATCATTTGCTCAGGTCCATGGCTTTTTGAGAAAACACAACCTGGATTTGGTGTGCCGCGCACATCAGGCAGTCGGGATTTGGCAAATTTGAGATTGGTCAGCTTTCCGTGCACCTGTTTTTGGTGTTCGTAGGAAGCTTTCAAGGTCAAGACACAAGGACCCAAACCTGTTGTCATTGAACATGATAGTTGATAGTTCTTCTATCAGAGTATCGACTAGGGTGCAAAAGCTGGGAGGCCAGGCTCAAAAAGCAACCCGTGATCCATGTACCAAGACTGGAACACTTGGGAAGTTAGCTTTGTGGATTCATATCATCAAAATTTGAACCACAACACTGCGAAGGAAGGGATGCGTACCTGCTTTCCAAAACCCTGACGGAATCTCCGTTGAAACGCACTTCGACCGGCCCCGGTTTGAGCAGGCTGTTTTGGGTCCTGTTTTTTGTCGAGGGTCAACCAAAAATATCCAAAAATAACATACACGATGATGTGGTTTTCACAAAGCATGGACCCCCAGACTACGACGGCTTTTCCATTTATAGCAGTGAGTTTCTGTAGCCACATGGGAAGTCCTTTCAATAATTACTTGTCGCTGGATGTTGGGCGGCTACCCGGGTGATCGGCGCCATCAGGGTGTACTGTTCTTCACCGAAGTTGGAAGATGTATTGAATAGGAGCAAGGACGCTACTAGGGGCCCCTGAACGTCCATGGAACAACTCCGCCAGTTTCTACATTCGACCGCTCGGCAAGACATGCCCATGGAAGGTGGTGGAAGACGGCTACGAATTCTTCGCTTGTCGCGCCCTGGTGACCCTCTTCAGTGCGCCAAACTATTGCGGAGAATTCGACAACTCGGCCAGGGTGCCCGAAGAGAGAGAGCAGGTTTGCGTCTCTGACCTGCCCATGACCTCCCCATTCATCCCCATTCAGGTTTAAGTCCTTTGAGTATTCCTTTAAGCACCTGTTCCTTTGATATATATACTGTATATATATTTTAATATATAAGCAGTTATGATTATAATCATATAGCAAGCCTTTTTGTTGAGTTGAGGTTACTATTTTTAGATTCATGTGAGGTAAACTCAAGAGTGTGTCCGACGTGTTACCCTATATAGATATATCGATACATATACTGCACATGTAATTACACGTACCGATACAGTCATCATTTTTGAAGTGAAGAATTGCTGAACCAACGTGTTTCACCACAATCATGCAGAGCTTCGTTTGATGGACAGGAGTGGACAGACTAATGGACCCGAAGCCTAAGTATGATGTTTCCCGCAGATGAAACTGCGGCACGTGCGCCCGCAGTCTCATCCATTCTTTCAGACCAAATGGGCCACAGCGTAGCGGAGTGCACATGTGTTCTGATGATTTGATGTGAGTTCCAGGCAGTTCAATCGGTTTTTTTCACTGCAACCTCATGCTGTTGCCATCCCAAGCACATGCGTTTTCATCAGGTCCAACAGTCCAACATTTGAAGTGTGCCAAACAAAACCTTTTGCTTCCTTTCTCCCAAATCGAATGATAGAACATTGATAGAGCATGCATGGCCCATACACCATGCCCAAGGCCGCCATCATGACGGTGGACGACCGGCTTTGCTGTGCATTTCAGATCCTCCGACCGATGCGGATCTAAACCGCATCGCATCGGCGGAGAAAGGCCCAGCGGCCCGGGCTCCTCGTTCGACCCACCGAAGAGTCGACCCCAAAGTTGGTGTCCCGAAAAGACATAGAATCAACCTGAGAGCGATGGCCTCCAACCTAAGAGAAAAATCCAAGAAGTCTGACTAGGCCTTAGATGACTTTAGATAGGCAGCTTTGGATGGGGTCATTCTGGAGGAATGAAACCTTGGCCTTTGGGCCAAAGAGCTCTCATGCCAGAAACGCATGACGTACCTTACGAATCCTATCTATAATGGATAGGTTAGCTCAATGCCTTCTGGTCCTGGGCCAGGCAGGAATTGAGAACTCTGGACGAAAGTTAGGGCTCTCACTTTTGTGAAGAAATGTTGTATCATATTGTTTTTGTTGCCTCTTGTTGCTTCCAATGTGGCGGGGCACCAAGTCAAAGCTGTTCTACAGGCCTTCCCTTGACCCGGCCCTGAAGGGCTAACGAAGGCAGTGTTCAAATTGAGGAAATTCCTTTTGCCGCAGTATCTACACATCGTGCAAGCAGTTTGAAGACCACTGACTTGTCAACGAGTTAAGATGTGTGATGATAGCTGTGGTCAGCTAGTGATCCCCAAAGTGGTGTGGAGATATCGGTGCGCTCATTGTGTCACAAAAAGAACATGCTGCAAATTGCTGCACGGACCTATACACTATAAACACTTTGTTTGTGCTGTGAAATAATCGGATGATAGCTTGTATGGGAATCCTTAATTGCGCTGTGCAGGGTAGAGGAGGAGTATCAGAGTGTCAGATTGAACACAGTGTGCATTTATGGCCAAATCAGCAATCAGCATAGTATTGTAACACATGTATTTTGTTTGATTGGTGGTTTCAATTGATTTGTGTTTAAACATCTTTGCCAACGACCATCATGTTCACAAGGCGGCTTTGCAACGACCATCGTGCGCGGACCGCGGAGTTGGTGAAGCCGCCATCAGCCGCCGTCCGAAACACCAACAAACTGGGCCAAAGCAGAGGAAAGCTGTGAGGTGGAGCAACGAGATAATACGGCAACAAACCCTGAAACGGCCATATGTTTTGAGTCTTCGACCAATAAGATCACGATCTCACAACGCTGCCACACTGCTATTGGTCAGGAAGCCATCTGAGAATCGCTGCCATGGCGCTGCTTGCGCTGCGCTGGCTGGCCATTTTGCCGAGTCAAGGCTTTCAGTGATCACTGCCTCACATGGGGAACCCCTGCATGTGGCTACTTTTAATATGGCAAAAATAGATTGCGCTATGGCCCTATGGCCAAAAATATCTTGCCCGGGTGAGTTGCTGATTCTATCCTACCTCATCTATTTGTTTATCTACCTATTAAACATGTTCACGACCTGGGGTTGGAAAGACATGTGTGTTCTTCAAGTGAGGTACTTTGCAGATTGAATCCTTGAGCTTCGCTGCTTCCGTGGCTGTGGTGAGCTGACACGCAAGTCGCATATGGTGCATCTGCATTTGTTCACGAAGCAGCAGAATCCATTGTGAGGACGTTTCACGACATGCAATCATCATTGTTATCATTTGAGAGTCGCCAGATTGGCAGAAACAGTGTCGCTTCCGCTGTTGTTTAACAGATTCAACATCAGTCAGCTCAGCAGAATACATTTACGAAATCCCCTGCTTTGAAGTTTTTCAGCTTTGGCCCATGGCAGATCATGTCTGAACCTCAGGATGTCTACGAACAGTTTCAAGAACACATTATGTGACCAGGATATGGTTTAACAAAATAACAGCAGTATGAGTATGAGTCTAATTTCTATCACTACTCTAGGGGCCATGTTGCCAGATTCGTTAGCCACACTGCCAAGTTGCATCAGTATTGATCGCGATGCTTTGGCTTAGTGGCGAAAGCCTGTTCTCTCTCTCTCTCTGCGTTGCTGAGAGATGTTACCATTCATGCTACTTTGTTGTTTGCCTGCTTGCCTGCAGTCTTTGAAACAGCAATTTCTTATCCTATGTCCTATGCTATGCAGCTTGCTGCGGTTCACATCTTTTCGTAGCCATGGGCATTCCTGCATTGCATAATATACTGCATTGGATGACCATATGCAAAGTATATGCAAAAAGTTTGATCCCTTTCATCGCTGCAATACCATGAGCCTCTATATGCCTATATATATATATGCTTATGTATTTCTTAGTATTTCCTTATATGCTTATGTATTGCTTATTAGATTCTGTAGTCACCATGGCACTTTCTGGAGTTGATCTCGGTAGACCGAGCGACTGAGGTCCGAGCGATCGAGCTCACAGAGAAGGATCGGGGCTTGGGAGTGATCCGCTTCAATCAGCACCTCGCTACATCCGAGTCCGTTCTAGTCCGTTCATGTCTGGCCCTTGGTGAGTTTTCTCAACCGCAGCTAGCTTTCCTGATAACAACCCCGTTGGCCTCAAGTTGGCTGTTTTTGTAGACTTTGGCATTTGGCCCTGCTGCTTGACTGTGTTTGGTATAATCCTCTTTGGTTCTGCCCCTCGCATCTTTTTGGTTCTGCCCCGAAAACGCCGTTTTGCCAGGCAGCGCGCCTCTGCATGTTGTACAAAATATCCACCGCAGGGAAAGAAGTTTCGACCTCAGGTTTGACGACGGTTGCACCTCGCTTTTCTGCCACGGACCACCAGGAACTCCACTCTTGCTGCGGCGATTTGGAGGTCGCTAGATTTGCACTTGCAAGCATGCTAGGTTGGAGGCCATCGCTCTTAATTAGGTTGTTTGCTAGTCATTCGAGTCAATGAGGAAAGGGGGGAACACCGTCAGTCCTTCGCAAACGGATCTCTACGCAGCAGACTGAGGCCCGTTCGAAAGTTTGACGAGGAGGAGATGTGTTTCTTTTTCCCGAATGCATAGCGAAGGGTTCTCGTTTAACTCTGAGGGGGTCTGGGGGTAGAGCCCTGTTCGCGACTCGTTGTCCGAGTGTCCGAGCGACCGCAACCGTTGTCAACCGTTCGCAGTAGGGCGCTATGGCGCTGACATTGGGGGAAGCTTTTGGAGAGGGTTTTGGATGGAAGCATGACGTGTCAGATTCGTGTGAATTAGTGAGGAAACGCGTGGAAATGTGAGAGGATGAAGCGTGGAGGATGAATTCAATGCGCAGGCGCAGGCGCAGCATTTTGTGAGATAGGATGAGATAGGTAGTTTTTTGCGCAGTCACATTGGGATTGGCCTGTAGAGGGCGCTGTTTCTGGGGTGTTGGATGTGGCTGTGACATAGGGATTTGCGGTTCAGGCTGCTGCTTCGAAAGTCTCAGCCAAAGCTACGATTTTGAGGATGCAGTTTGCTCAGAACGTGTCGAGGCCATTCCAAACATGTGGCGTGGTGCAAATTTTGCTGAAGCTATATAATATGATATAATATGATATGATATTGTCACTTTCGTGGCAGGCACAGTACTTTGTGCGGGCTTTGAGGTGTGGAAGTGCAATTTTCGTGGCAGGCGCACGGAATCGTGTGGTGGTTGCGAGGTGTGGCGGAGATCACAGTTCTTGGCAAGCGCAGTACTTTGTGCGTGTTGAAGTTGGAGGTGTGGGCATGCAAGTTTTCGTGGCAGGGGATCGCGAGGTTGCGAGTTGTGGTGGAGGTGAATGTCGCTGTGACATTGGGATTGGCGTGTGAGTGGGTGTGGTTTGGAGGGGCTGGAATCGCGAATCTTCTTGGCAGGGGTGCTTGATGTGTGCTTCAATGGGGCTCCCCGCTTGAGTTTTGGAGGAAGTCTTGTACGAAGTGTTCGTTTTGGAGACTTTGACACAAGACTGTCTCACGAGAGTGTCCTACAAGGGTGTCCCACAAGACTTTCCTACAAGAGTGTCCCACACGAGTAAGTGTCATACAAGAGTGTCCTGTCCAGCAAGAGTGTCCCACACGAGTGACCTACAAGAGTGTCCCGCAAGCGTGTCCTACAAGAGTGTTCTGCAAGAGTCCCACAAGAGTGTCCTGCAAGAGTGTTCCCCAAGTGTGTCCCAAAAAGAGTGTCCCACAAGAGTGACATACAAGAGTGTCGCGCAAGAGTCTCCCACAAAAGTGTCCTACAAGAGTGACCTACCAGAGCGTTTCGCAAGAGAGTGTCCTACAAGAGTGTTCCACACCCAAGAGTGTTGTACAAGAGTGCCCCACAAGAGGGTCCTACAAGAGTGTCCCGCAAGAGTGTCCTAAAAGATTGTTCCGCAAGAGTGCCCCACAAGTTGACAAGAGTGCTATATAAGCGTGTCCCACAAGAGTGTTCCGCAACTACGAGAGTGTCCCACAAGAGTGATGTACAAGAGTGTCCCGCAAGAGTGTGTCGCAAGCGTGACCTACAAGAGTGTTCCGCAAGAGTGAGTGTCATGCAAGGGTGTCCCACAAGAGTGACAAACAAGAGTGTCCCACAAGAGTGTGCCGCAAGAGTGTCCCACGACAATGTCCGACAGGAGTGTCCTACAAGAGTGCCACACAAGAGTGTCCTACAAGATTGTCCCACAAAAGTGTCCTACAAGAGTGTCCCACCAGAGTTTTCTACAAGAGTTTTCCGCAAGAGTGTCCCACAAGGTGTCCCTCAAGAATGCACAAGAGTGTCCCACAAAGGTTTCCGAAAAGAATGCGTCCTGCAAGAGGGTCCCACAAGAGTGTCTCCTACAAGAGTGCCTATTTTTGGGGGGGTGTTTATGTTTGAGGACGTGTTTGCATATGGGTTCGTGGGCTCCATCTTCTTGTGAGTGTTTTTATTATCAAGTTTCCTCAGTGTTGTGTGAAGCAACTGCTGCAACCGCTACCATCAAACTCCACGGAATCTACTCCTGGACTTTGCTACCCAGTCTACGAAGGAAACAATAATGTTTTTTCATGTTTTCTCAGCATTCCTCTTTGTACACCAGGACTCTTAAAGATGGGGTTGGATGCTTTGCCCTAAACTATCTCTGAAAAGACCCTGCTAGCCGAGAGGTGAAAAGAGGTCTCGGCATATTGGCAGAACATTTGCTGTGCCTGTGAGC